TAATGAGAATTGCATTAAAAAGAAGTTCGGCAGTGCCTCGCCGCCTGTCATTCTTTATCACTGCATATCGAGTATTTTTTTCAATTAGGAATAGGGCACGCACCGATCTACGGGCTGCCCAAAGCAAGCAAGCGCTGTGTAGGTTGGTTGACTGTTTACGACATTTGCCACCAATGCACAGCTTGGTTGCTTCGGGCAGACAATAGATCGGTGTGCGCCTATACTGTTTGGGGACACTGCAAAAATTGCGTTTAGCCCTTGGTTGTCAGCGGCTTGTGTGAATTTTCCACGCGCACAACTAATACAAGCATCTTCGGTAGAGCTCTAGGTAGAGCTCTCAGAAAAGACGAGTCTGACGACTTTCCTTTTCAAGTAGACCAGTGCTGTAAAAATCATTACTGTAACTCAAATTTTAAACTTCGAGGAGAAGTTAAAAATTTCCCAGTGTAAAACCACCCGAGTTTCAGTTGCTGTTGTTTAGCAAAAATGAAAGATACATCACACAGAGCAGGTGTCAGTCACACTCTGCACGTGTCCATTTTGTGGGACAGTTGCTGTGTTGCTCTTGGAGGCAAGACAGTTTCACTGTCCAGGTCTCACCTTCCAATGATGAGGATTCCTGCCACATGAAGCACTCGTGTTTGTTGGCGTTTGAGAAAGCCCTGCAGCTTGTAGGCGTGGTCGCCAGAGGAATTGGAGATGCGTGGACACGTTAATTACTGCTTCCGGGCTTGAGTGCAGCCTGCTCCACCCGATCTGCGTCTGCTTTTTAAAAGGTGACTGCTCATCGTTGGCTTGGAGGCAAAAATAACTGGCATAGTTAATTTTTCGTCTCGTAGGAAAAAAAGAGGCTGAGTATTTGAAGGAGAAGTTGTTCTTTGGGATAAAACGTAACTTTAATTAGTAAATTTTTGAGGTTGCTGCCCTAGCTCGTCTTCGGACTAACAGGCAATGTGCAATGAACTATTAACATTTCAAACGTGCGGAAAATCAATATTTTTATGGGGTGAGACCTGATTGGTAGGTGTGGCCGTCGTGCCGTCTTCCTTTCTTCCACCGTTCTTTCAAGTGTTCATAAATACCACCGAATTTATGTTCCAGTTGATGCCTGAGTCGTCGTAGTACATGGCCTCAGGAAATTCTCGGCCATTTTGGATGGGCAAACTCCGATGATGCGCGTTTTATCCCATGCAAAATGTGTCCTGTGTCGAGGCAATGCACAGCCTTTTTCAGACGAGTGTTCACGTCTCTTTACAGCCAATTGGTGCTCGTGGA